CCGTTAGTATATTCCAATTTAATTCGATGAAATTGTTGCAGATTTTTCCGATGTCCAACACTAATAATGGTTGAATGCGAACCGAGTTCTTGAAGTAAAGTCGAATATAAATGTGTTTCAGATCGTTCATCTAACGATGATGTTACTTCATCTAAAAAGATCCATTTCGGTTGATGAAGAAGAATTCGAACGAAAATCATTTTCTGCTGTTCGCCCGATGACAATATAAGAGACCAATCTTCAATATCTTCTAGGCGGTTTGCTAACGATTCGAGTTGACAAAGACGCAATATTCGCTCGATATTTGCATCGTCCTTTGATGGTCGCAGCGTCGTCGATGGATAAGTAAAACAATGACGAAGAGTTCCAAGTGGACAATAAGGTTTCTGAGGAATAAATTCGATAGTGTCGCTCAGGGGCTTAGTGATTATTCCATGACCGTACGGCCAAATCCCAGCAAGTATTCGAAGTAGAGTTGATTTTCCACAACCGGATGGACCTAAGACATAAAAGAATTTCAGAAGAAAGATTTGATCAAATTAGCTGTGATGACGGCTGTTGTTTTACCTGTAATAAGTACAGATTGATATAGTTCGAATATCCAACTGAAATTTTCAATGAGTATTTGTGGAGAATTGGCATCGATACTCAGTGGTAATTTTGCGGTCAATCCTTCTACTCGAATATTTTGCTCTTTCAATTTATGGACAATTTTGATTTTAGAATTTCGCTTTGCTTCATGTAAGTTCTGTAAAGCATTGGCTAAATCAATGAGTCTTTTTGTCTCTGCTCTCCACTGTGCAATTGTAGCATAAGATTTGGCAACAAACGAAAGCGATGTTTGTACACGTGTAAAAGACGATCCGATTTGTGTTAGATCACCAAGAGTTATTTCTTTTGAGAAGTAGCGAGTCGAAGCAATCAAGTACGGGAAAATATCTGATATGTGACTAAACGAATACGAGAACCAATCGAGGTTCAGTGAACAACGCATGATCTCGCGAAAGTTTGACATCACCGCAGAGAACAATGCAGTTAAAGATGCATGTTCATGTAATTCACCATGATACAACGCCACCGATTCGACATGATCGCGAAGTCGAGCGAGTTCATACCGAAAATTAGCTTCGTGACGTTCTTGTTCATATTTTAAATTCATCAGATTGCGACCGATACGATCCGTTATTAGCGTACCTGAAACAGTCGCATGAACTTCTACATTTATCAAATTCTGATATGTATTTCAATGCAAATGTCGAGTGTCAATCTATATATACTCAATGACTATGGAGAGATATGGTACACTATATTCACTGCATTGGGATACACTATACTTCTATTGAAATATATCATCTATTGACAATTTTCTGAAATGCGAGAACATGTAAAGTGAAACTCAACATTAGAGTCATTTCTAGTTTTTATTCCTTCAATTACTTTCAAGTTTGTTTTCCTCTGAATGTAGTTAAAATGAGAAACTCAATAGAACATATATTTCTCACTCAAAAGTTTTATAGACGGTTAAACATTAACTTCCGAATTGCTTAGGTTTTACAGAAGACTGAAGTAGATTAAAATATTTTCTTACCGAGTGCGGCATAACAAATGGCTATCCACATCATACCACCTGGTATTTTATACGAAACATATTCTGTTACATGAATTTCGATCACACCCGATAAAGACCATAGAATAAACACATGTGAAATAAATGAAGCTATTGCATGTGTTGCACCAATGGTCAAATTACAAGTATGTGTAATATACGACGCAATATCAACAGATATTCTCTGATCAGGATTATCCTCACGATTTGTCTTGAAAGAAGCTCCATAATAGGCATGTTCTGCTAGATAATTTGTTATGAAGTAATTTGTTAACCAACGTCTCCAATGAAGTTCAAATAATTGTGCGAAGTAACTTTTGTAAACGTTCACAGCGATTACTATGAGAATAATAAAAGGAAAGTAGAATATTAACCGAAAAAATGCAGATTGGTCCAATTGTTGAAGAGCACTGAAAAGAGCATTGTGCCAATAAGAGAACAGAACACTCAAACCAACTGAAGCCAATTGCATAATGATTATAATCATAAACATAGATCGAGCATAGATTCGTTCATCCGAATAGAAATATAAATGTGACAAACGCCAATTGTCAATCAATAACGAAGGTACGTAACGCATACTACAAACAGAGACGATACAGAAAAAAAATGCTCACGATAATCAAGCAGACATGCAACTTTTCGCCGATTCTTTATTTGCGCTCACGAGTTCGGAAGAAGAAAAATCGATGCATGAGGAAAATGAAAAATGAATGCTACCACCTTTTCATGTCTTACAAATAATTTCTTGATTGGTTCATTTCAATGTGGTGCCTTGATAGCTCTGAACTAAAGACGATCAGGTGAGCTATCCAATTAGTTGATGAATTATATTGCCAAGAATAGCAAATGTAGAACGTTTACTGTGTATCATTCTTGTCATTCTATTATTCTCATGATGACCAAAGCTCGGAGGGTAATTATTTATGAAAAAAAAATTGTAGATTGTCCATAGTCATGCAGGACGCTTTTATGTGGTAGTAGCTGGATATAAAATATACTTCTTGATATTGCAAATTCAAAAAAAAATACTACCATACTTCAGTTTTATTTGAAGGTAACTGTGTCATGTGATGACCGCAAATTGTGAATAGATATGTGTCGCAGTAAGCAGCAAAAAGAAATACTGATGAAATAAATGAAGAGCGATAAGTAATAAACAAATAAGAAAAAAAAGGAGAATGACGACTGCAGAAATGTGCGAAGTCAAAGTAAAACAAGAAAAAATAACGAACAAAACACAGAAAGACAAAGTACGAACGAAAAAAAAATAGAAAGTCAGTAGCAAGAGAATAAGAAAAAATACAAAAAGCCGAACAGTATGTGTATATAGATGCAAATGAAAAGAGTATTTATTGGCAGATCCATCTATAATATATATATATACAGTGATCGCCATAAGTAGACGCAAATTATAAAACTAGGAAGACAAACGCATTACTGTAGTTTTATTATTTTTTATCTATAAAATTTATATAATATGTGCATCATCTGAGTAATTAATATAATCGCCTGTTCTCTCATTTAACAACTGTACTCTACTTTTCACGGCATCAACTAATTTTTCAGCAAATGCAATAAGCAAACCTTCTCTTTCTTGTCTTATTCTTCTATCCACATTATCGATTGATGTCGGTGATTGTTTATTTATTTTGGAGCTTCATTCATACTCAAATATTTTTAGTTGGGTTATAGTCTGAAGTTTGCCATAGCAATAGTATTTCCAATGATGGCCATTGAGGGTGTGGGTGTGTGAGTGTTATTCTTCTCTTTGAACACATTCACACCGTAGAAATATAGAGCACCGGTGTCTGTATTAAAATTTCTAATGAGCAATGTTCCAAGTAAATAGCATTTGGATATCTTTCGAATTAAAAATAATTCGATTCAATATGTCATAAAATTTTAGATGTATTCCATAGAAATATGAAGATCTTCATTATTTGAAATTTAAAAATTCTACAAAGTATTTTCTTGTAGTTATTCAATGTGAATTCACCAAGCACGATAGCATGTTTTTCCACATGATCTTCTAATATTATCTTAAGTACGTAAGTTTTATTTAAACTGACGTAGTTCGTAAACATTTTTTCTCAAAATGTTTTATTCCATTTACACCAGATCCACATAAAAAACAAAATTGTTTCATACATGCACTGCATACCATCCAATTATCTTGAGTAATCTTTACATTAATCTTTCTACATGCTTCATTAGGACATGTTATCACTCGGTTGAGTATAACTGAACCAATAGTTGATTCATCATCAATTAAAATGCTCAAGTCTTCGTCATTTTTCTGTTGTTCTTGTTCATGTTCTTGATCAGAAGGTATATCTCTTCATGTTGTTTTGGTTTGTCTTGTACAGGAGTATCGACTGAAAGAAAGATAATGTATATAAATTATTATTTTCTTTTGTTTCCCTTAAATATATCGCTTTCATTATAGTCTAATGTCATTTTCGCCAATAAATACAAATAGGAGTCGAAATATAAATGTAAAACTATTACAAAACTAACAATTTGAGTATTATATAAACTTCTTTCTGATTTGTTAATAGGAACACTTAAATCCATATTATCTTAGATATGCAACAGAATTTTATTTGTTATCCAGGGTTTTTTTTCGAGCGAAATGTTTTCTACAGTTTGTGATCAGGTATGATTCAAATATTCTTCCTTTTAAAAGTTACTAAAAAGAAATTATCATTTTTGACATTTCATTGTAGTACAAAACTTTCTATTCAGCAATGCTTTTATTGTTACTAACCTAAGTATGCTACTTTGTTGAGTTCTTCTTTTATAGATTCAATTTTTGTGGAATCATTATGTTCCAAATATGGAGTAATAATCGTTTGTGTTGGTTCTTGTTTTGTTTGCCATGTAAAATCGAAATTACATCGTGTACATCGCATATGTGAACAACCACCATTCTTTTCGATTGCTACATGACATTTAGGACAAAATTGAATATCATCTACATTGATTCGTTCAGCAGTTAATATTTCTTGTAATAAAGTATTTTGTTCAGAGAGCTTAATAAAAATATGACGATATCTTTGTGTAGGAATTTGTTCATTCCAAGTTTTTTTCTGTCCTTTTGTTTTATTTAATTTAGCGAATGTAGCTTCTTTTTCTTTTTGTAGTTGTTTAAGTTCTTTTTGTTTTAGTAATTTCATTTGTTCAATTAAATAATCTTTAGGACATATTGTTTGAAAATGATATGTTTCATAACATTTTTTACAAAACGTATAATGACATTGATCACATATAGCTAGATTATCATCTTCTGGACTACTAATAATAGGTGATTGACATCTAAATCAAGTTTCCTTGACATTTTAGATTTGTTTTAATTAGAGTTTCGTTTTAAGTATATATTCTACATTATGTCATTCACTGATACTAGATATGAGTTCATAGCTATCTAGTTTATTTTTGTCTTCGACTGATAATTATTAATATAATTTTTCTTCTTGTTTCCAAGCTCTGTCGATATTCTTTATTTGCTTAATCCTGTCCACTACTACTACATTCTTATTTAGAATTATCAGAATGGAGTGTGAATAAATCGACTAAGATATTGGAGACTTTTTCATTTTGATAATGGCAGTCAAAATTCTATTGAATTATGGTCTTGTTTTGATGAAATCGAACGTTTCTAGTCATTTTTTTTTCGAGGAAGTCCATATTCATAGCTAGATTACTTGAAAACAATTATTAGAAAATTCTGAATTTTTGTATACACACTAATTTAAATGAGATCTTCACGTAATCAAAATTTTAGGTCAGAATTTGAAAATATGATCTTGCTACAAATATGGGTTGCAAAAATACAACGAAATTTTACTATTCAGAAACTAACTGTAAATACGAACTCTTATATTTTTACATAGTTTATCAAATATAGAACAGGTATTGCAAAAATCTTAGTAAGAAAATAATACATGTCTTTACCAAAGAACTCAAAATAATTCATTCATTTATCTCACCTTGGACACCAAACAATATCCTTCATTGATTCAAGTCCATGTTGCAATGTTAATCGTTCATATCTTTCATATAATTTTTCATTTTGAATAGTTTGTTTTATTTCTGTTGGAAGTAAAACTTGTTTACAATGATCTCGTGGACAAAGAAGATTTTCTCCAAATTTTCCATTGTCAAGTGTCATTCGAATATAATGATTCAAACAAGTACGACAATAAAAATGTCCACAACGATGAAGACGAATACAATCTATACCTGGAATAATATCTGTACAAATAGAACATGATTGAAGTCGATTTCGAAATACTTCTTCTTGGCGCTTTTGATTATAATCAATTAAATATTGAAAAATTTTTTTAACATTTTCCATTGTATAACCATTTAATGCTCGTGGATCATTTTGTTGTTCTTCAAAATTTGTACGAATAATAAATTTATTTGTTATTTCTTGTTTTATTAATTCAATCCAATCATAAACACAAACTTCACCTGGAATAAACGAAAAATTATCAATTTTTTGACAAAGGTTTTCTAAATCAATTGTAGAAAAATAAAAACATGAGAGAATAAATGATGGTGGATCATCACTTGGATATTCATCATGATAATTAATTATAAGAGATAATGGTGGTAAATATTGTACAGTAGATATTTTATCATCTAATTGAATTGTAAATGATGTAAATAAATCAAATTCAATTAATATTTCATATTGATTGTCATTCATTAAACGAAATTTTTGATCAAAAATTGATTGTAATGCTAA